GGAAAGAGACTCTGCCCTATCTTGCTGAAACAGGAAAAAGCCCTATTTGGCTTTTCTGAAGTTTGGATATTTAGAGGAAGCAGTGAGTCCAGAGGAACTTACTGCTTTCTCTCACCTTGACAAACAGGCCAGACACCTTTCATAGAGGTGAAGTTAGAGCTCTTGCTAGTCCTGTGAAGTGTTTCCCTGGTATCAATATCACTTCTCTCTTATCTGGACTCAGTTTGAGCCAGCTACATTTTCATCTCAGTACTTATCTTACTTACACTTATCTCTTCCTCCATATATTGGGATGCTGCATTCCTCTGGACCACTCTTTGGACCTCTAAGGCATTTCATGGGAAATATTCCCATGGTGCTGACTGTTCAGGGGATTTGGTGTATATATTCTTTGTTGGTATGAATTGTGGGACCAGAGTGGTAGTCAAACATCAGCTTCATTTTTAAAGCCTCACTTTTGCAAGCATTTTTAAAGCTTCACTTTTTAAAAGCTTCATTATACAGCTGCTGTAGAAACAGGATTCTCTTCTAATCAGCTTCCTGCTCTGCCAATAAAAGAAACATTTCCTGGACCATCATAGCTACCACACCACTCCAAACCTATGTAAAAGAAAACTCATTTAGATCACTGAGGTAACATGTTACTGTTATTTTTACATTCACAAATGTAGCTCAATGTGGTTTCTTTCTATGGGCTGTGAAGAGAGTGTGTTTGGAGGGGCAGTGAAAGGTGAAAATCTCTCTTTTGCAATGAGGGGAAAAGGTCAGCTGTATGTGAGAAGGAAAAGGTATGGTATTTTTTCTGTGTATGGCAAGAGGGGAAGAGGAAAGTGTCTATTTCTCTGTACCAATGGGGGAAGGAGGAGGGGGAGGTCTTTGTGCATGTTTGTGCCCCTGGCAGTGGAGGACAGAGGGGGAGGGGAAGTGGAAGACATATCTGTAGCAGTGGTTTGTTTTTACTTCCTTGTGAAAGGGGAGAAAGGAAAGGATGTCTGTCTGTCTGCCTACCTATCAGCATTTCATAAACAAATGTACAGCATCCAAAAAGGGTTGAGTGTAGAGAGGAAAGTTCACTAGCTCAATCCCAAACTGGGCAAATGTTCAGATACCTATTTTTGTTGGTACTACAGTTCAAACTGACATTGAATCAGGAATCCTTCTGATTCATGTGATCTCTACAGCACACACAGGAAAATAATAATAAAAAAAATCCCTTGCTCTGTCTTTTTTCCCCCCTATTCAAATTGAGGCTTTTTTGTATGTTTCAGAATCTGCTTTCTGTCAGATGTGTTTTTTGGTAAGACTTTGTCCCTATAAATGTTTCAATTTATTTTCCCCTCTGAAACTCTCACCTTGGCCCCTGGTAGCTGTTTTCTGTCTCCTTGCAGCTGGTGTTTGTCCTGCTCTGCCCCCAGCCCCATTTCCCCCTTCCCCATTTCTGTTTCCCATTCTTGCCCTCTCCCCACTGCTGTCGTCTTGGCTGATGCTCTCAAGAATGAGGTGGTCTGGATGATGCCTTCTCCCTCCCCCCACCATTCCAGTGAGGTGGTGGAGGGGGCTGGTTTTTGGGGGGAGGTGTGGGGATACCTGGCTTTTGAGGGTATCACCCTCTAAGGTGCAGGCATACCAGGCTTGTGGGTATTGCCCTCTGTGGTGTGGGGATACCAGGCTTTTGAAGGTATCGCCCTCTGCAGTGCAGGGATACCAGGCTTGGGGGTATTGCCCTCTGCGGCGTGGGGATACCAGGCTTTTGAGGGTATCACCTGCTAAGGTGTGGGCATACCAGGCTTGGGGGCATCACCCTCTGCGGTGACTGAACTGCCTGCCGCTGCGAAAGCGGAGGACGAGCTCTCCCCCTCCCAGGAGCCGGCCCTTTCCTTGCCGGCGGAGCGCGGCGCGGCGCGAGCCCCGGCGGGGCCAGAGGAGGGTTTTTGCACGGCCTGCGGGAGGCAGGACCCGCGCGCCAGCCCCGGCCCCAGCCCAGGCACGGGAGGCGGCGGGGGGGGGCCCGGGGG